TTATTTCTCAACTGTGTAGCTTAGTGTGTGTTCGTTCTGTAACTGTGTAGGGTTGGCATCCGAGGAAGCGTACTAGCTTATCTGTGACCCAGTGCTCTGTGAGTAACAATGTTGTAAAGTTATGTTCAATTGAGATTATTTTCTGAAAATGAAATGACACTGTTTACTGAATGAATGTTTGTCCTATTTGTGAACTGTATTCGTGACATCCATAGCAATTTACTGTTACTGCTACTGTTACTGAGATCTCTGTCGGTTCCCACGTTTGGAACCACTACTGTTTACTGATATGATGGCTATCATTGACTGCTCGGTCTGTTAAGACCTACTGTACTGTTTTGCTATTGGATGTACCACATATGACTATTATAGTTTCTGAATGACTGTTATGGCATGAATTATGAGCCACAAACTGAATGACTGATATACTGATAAATGACTGCTTTCAATATTGAAAGGACATTCATTCTTAACCTCTTTACGCATATGTTATTCACTGGGCTTTAGCTTATTGTTTATATATATATATATATATATATGTAGGTGTTCAGGCACCGGATCGGAGTTAGGAGCGTCGGATTAGCTCTTGTTTTGTCAAGCCAACCATCATGCCTCACTGCGAGGTTCCAAGTGCTGCCAAGCTAAGGCTGCTTCGGGGTGTTTTAGATTTTCCCCTTTCTGTCTCTGTTATGTATAGACTGTTACTGTACTGTTTTGGTAGGGATTTGGTCCCTAACCCGAATGATTGTACATGATGTATGTATAGTACTATTTTGTTCTGAATGTAAATATGTTTTAAAAAATCTTTTTGCACACAGACTGTCACAGCTCATTGGACATCTTTTAATTATTATTTTGGCTTCCGCCAGCCCATGTACTCTGTATTACTGTCTTACTGTTAAGCAGGCCTTCGGTAATCTCGGATTACTGGCCGGTTACGGTGCTAAACCCATAGGCGCGGGTTTGAGTCGTGACAGTCTCCAACTCCAACTTGGTCGCGAGCAGCTTAGCATGGGTACAGTCAGCAATATTCCTTTGCACCATCACCAACACCTTCGTTTTTTTTGCCTTCTGGGCCTCATCCAACCCCCTAGCACACACACTTCGCGCGGCCTTCCTCCAGCCTACGCTCTCCTTCTTCAAATTTTCAAGTTGGGCCCTCACCTCTTCCAACTTTACCTTCAATGGCCTCACTTCGCCTCTTGCAGCCGCCGCCTTGTTCAGTAAGGCCCCTGCTAAGGCGATCGCCTCCATTTGGGCATAGCACAACCCCCTTAGCAACTCAGCCTCAATGAAACTGGCCATTGAGCGCACGGCTGCGTCTTCCACTACTCCCAAAAGGCAATTTGCAGCTGTCCTGGCTGGGCCTCCTTCTCCTTCCAGTCGCCCAAACACTGCTGGAGCATGGTAGATGGCAATCTTCAACTTGATCCCCTCTCCCTCTCCTTGGGGCACAGGACCCCCCTTAGGCTGCTGCTCCGCCCCCTCCTCAGGGCCAGCCGACCTATTTTCCACTTACATCTTTGGGCCTATGGCACTCATGTGTTCTTTTTCCACTTGGGCCCCTTGACCTTCGTCCCCTTGTGCCTCTGGGATAACCATCCCTTCCGGAATAGCCCCTACCCCCCTCTCCTCTGCCTTCTCCGCCATGGGGGTGTCCTTTCCACCAACCCTCATCTTCTTCAAAGCGGGCGCATCTTTCGCCTTCTTAGTGGCAACTCTTTTCTTCTTCAACTCCCTCAACCCTGCCTCCACCTCTCGTCTGCTCCTCTCCTTCAGCGGGTCTACGGGTTATGGCAAGGGGGCAAACTCAGTCAGGTTCTTGTCCTCCAAAGGTTTAGGACGAGGTCGAATCCTCTCCTTTGGCACCAACTTCGGAGCAGGCCGCAGTTGTGTCTCCTTATATTTGTTCGCTCGGGTGAACAATCTCATTTCCTTCTCCTCCTCCGCTTTCCATTGCATCTCCAACTCCTCCCTTGCCAGATCTTCCCCCAACGGTTGCGGCCCCAAGTTCAGGGCAAACAACGTTGACGGAAGGACCAGCTCGTCCCACCTTACTCCTTTCTCCTCCCTCCATTCCCTCACCTTCTTCACTCGGTCTTCGCCCGCCCTGTCCAACTTGGGCTCTACCAATTTGGTGGGGACCTTCCACGTTGTGAGAACTCCTGCCCCACCGTTCGCCGTCACAAAGAACCATCTCGGCCTCCATCCCTTCACCGAAGATAGAAAACCCGCCACCAGCCCTCGCCCCGCCACCGCTTGCAGAGTCACCCAAGTCTCCTGCTGACCGGAGGCCTTGTAGCAGGAGAAGAACTCCTCTACTATCATTGCCGTCCCTCCGGTCGCCTGCAGCCAGGCACTCGCGCAGGCCACAACTATCTTCCAAGCGTTCGGCATCAGCTGCCCTGGCTCCGCCTCCAACTTGTTCAACATATCCACCACCACTTGGGGAAGAGGTAGCCTCAAACCCCTTCGCAACGCCTCCTCATACAAGCTGAATTCACCTGGCCACACATTTGACGCCCTTTCCTTGGACATGGGCAATCTTAACCCTATCTCCGAGGGAATCTGGTACTTCCTCCTTATTCCCTCAAACTCCTCCTCCGTGAATATAGATCTGTCCGGTTTGGTGTACTAGTGGTCCGGCTCCACTTGACTAATAGGTTTTGTAGTTGCAATCATCGTCCTTGGACGAGCCCACACCGCCTCACCAATTACCCTTCCTTCCCTACGCTCCATCCTGTACTGTTCCGCCAAATCCACCGCATCATTGTCGTCTAACGGATCAACCCTTGCGGTTGTTGCTTCCTCTTGGGCCATCTCTATTGTGTGTCTGCGAATGGTTTTGGATGCGGGCATAAGACAGTTCACAAAGTGTTGCAGGGGTGTATCACTGGCAACGAACGAGTTTACTTTGTGAGATGTTTTGGTTTTTTGCAAAAAGATAGGTAAAACGGATAATACCAAAAGCCTAAGGCTTGCCTATATTCCAAGGGTTACAATTAAATTTCGCTAGTTTGAAAATTTTAAAAAATTCGCCAAAACTGTCTTTTTAACACCACATATTGACCTATCGCTTTATTTCTTGCTCAACGTCTAACCTTCCCCATTACGGGATTCTGCCACGTGTACGACCACAATCCATTGCCCCTTTCCCATTCCCTATCTATTCCGCTTCACTTCACCATGTACCCCGCCGCCTCTCGAGCCCCGCGCCACACCACCCACCCTTCGCAATCGGCCCTCCTCATGGTCAGTCCCTTCACTTGGTCACCTTTCGCGGTCGGCCCTCACCATGGTCAGTTCCTCCACTTGGTCACCCTTCGCGGTCGGCCTTCACCCTGGTCAGTCCTTCCACTCGTTCACCCTCCATGGTCGACCCTCCCCATGGTCGGTCCCAGCACTCGGTCACCTTCGCGGTCGGCCCTCTTCATGGTCGGCCCCTCCACTCGGTCACCTTTCATGCTTGGCCCTCCTCACGGCCGACCCCTCCGCTCGGCCGCCCTTCGCGGTCACCTGTCGCCGTCGGCCCACCTCTCAGTCGGTCTTCACCCCGCCAGTCTTTCACAACCATCGTTTTCTTCCTTATTCCCTTCATTGGGCTAAAGTTGTACTCGGGAATGGGGGACTACTGACGCGGGTAAGCCCATAAAGGATATAGCCCACCGTTTAGGGCCCAATACATAACTCACATATTAAGGCCCAACGATGCTGGAGCTCAACATGGCATTAAGAACCAATAATATTCAGACACGTGATAGGAGAAAGACAAGCCACATAAGCAGATAAAGATCCTGCAAAGTTATTGCACTGCACATCAGCCATTAATGAAGGCCCTTACAGCATTTATTACGATAAGCCCTCCCCGTCGAGACAGAACGACGTCACCATGAACAAGGCAAGTTAGAACATAGACTTTCGGCCATGGCGACAGGTCGGAATGGACAACGAAATGATTACCAAATGATATAAGCAGACGTCGAAGACAATAAGAATGTTAAGCTTTCTATCTTTAATCTATCTCTACATTCCACCTCTTTTTCTAACTTGCTCGTCGGAGGGTTCGCTGGGAGGACTCTCCGTTCCCCGTTGAACTCTTGTGCAGGTCTTCTGGTGGGTTTGATCAGTCGGACACAGATTCGAGTAGCGTGGATCAGTCTGACCAATTCCATCTAAAAGTTATTGCATTATCAATTATCAATTAATTATCAATTAATAATTTAATTTTTTTATTTATTTATAGAAAGTATGTTGAAATAGAAAATGTATTTCTTAAATATACTTTTATTTAATTTTTAAATATTTAATACAATAATTGTTTTTAAATAACTAATAGAAAATAGGTTAAAATGAAAACATGTTTCGTAAATAAGTTTTTATTTTTTAAAATTATTAATGAAAGTTTATTTTGTAAATAAGTGATTTTTTTATTTTATTTTATGACATACTCTTTTAATATAATTTTAAAAACAAAAAATAAAAAGAGGGTTTTTTTGGGTATATAAAATACCTTTGTTTTTGTCTCAAATATTTTTATTTTAAAAAAATAAGTAAAATATTTTTTTTTAAAAATAATTTTTTATCATTTTTTAAAAATAACTTATTTTTACAAAATTAAAAATGAGAAAAGCACCAATAAATCTCAAATTTAGAAATGTTAACCCATTTAGTCCTGAAGGTTTTTTGTTGGACTTAATAGGTCCTATTTCCCAAGAAGATTACTATAAGCCTTTTTATGATTTTCCTTCTTTTCAAACATCAAACATTATTCATCCACATCAAACATTAGCAACGTCAGAATTATTTATCAAACATCAGCCACTAAGCATTAAGATTATTCATCAAACATCAAACACAGATTCTGAACCATTAAATATTAAGATTATTCATCAAAGATCAAACATTATCCATCAAACATCAAACATTATCCATCAAACATCAAACATTAGATTTATGAGTAACATCATCGAAACAACATCAAACAACAACATCAAACATCATCATCAAAACAACATCAAACATCACAACATTATCATAAAATAACATCAAAAATAACGATTAAACAATTTTTTAAATAACGATTAAACATCAAACTAAGGAGCAAAATGAGACTTCAAACATCACCAACATCAACTACATCTTCAACATTATTCATCAAACATCATTCATCAAACATTATTCTCCAACATCATTCATGCTGCGCCATCAAATTCTGCCATCAGTAACAAATCTGAATCAATCTACCCATTTCATGATTTTCCCATTACAATAATCACTAATAGTAATCAAGAAACCCCATTACTAAAAACAACAAATAGACTCTTAGATTGAAAATTCAACTATATCTCACAAAGATTACCATCGTTGAAGATCGATTGACAAGGACTTGAAAATCAGTGCCACACTAACAAGGGTTAAGTCTATATATGTATATAGTTTGATGAACTCAACATTAACAGTGATAAAAAATAGTCACTGTAATAAAGAATCAGATGAAATCGAAGAAAGGACGATCTTTATTTCTAGGGTTCGAATGTAGAATTGGGAATCGTACAATCACCAAAATGGTCCATCAGATTGAGCATTTCGCTTTTTGGGTATTGTTTAAAAGTAGTGGGTGAGGCGGGTTTGCTTCGCATGAGGGTTTTCTATGACTTTTTCTCTCTCTCTCTCTGTGCATATATATATACATACACCATGTATATAATGTGCGTATTGTGGGTATGAACTTGGGAGTACGAAACGCGGGAGACAACGTCAAATTACCCGAGTAGAGCTCTTATTACGCACACTGCTACGCTAATTGGGTTCTACAGAGAGAGTGACGATGATGATGATTTGCAGATTTCAGGGACTGGAGATTTGTTTTGATGTTGAAGACGAAGAAAAATGAATAATCCTAATGTTGTTTTGATGATGTTGTTTGACGATGATGTTGTGAGATTTGATGTTGTTTTGATGATGATGTTTGATGTTGTTTTAATGATGATGTTATGATGTAAAAAAAAGATTAAATGATTTATAAAAAAACACTCAGTAGATGGCGTAACATTTTTCAATATGGGACTTAGCCTCCGTTTGGGAAGTGGGTTGGCTTTTTGGCTTTTTGGTTTTTTGGCTATTTTAGCCTGGTTTGGGAAGGGCTTTTTGGTTTTTTGACTTTTTTGACTTTTTTTGTGAGAGAGGATTGTAATGATTATAGGTTGGATTTGATGTTTTATTTTTTGTGGCTAAAATAGCCTATTTTGTTTTTTGTGGCTATTTTAGCCAAAAAAGCCTGGGTTTTTTCTTGCCAAACGGAGGTTTAGGAGTAATTTTTCCTTACTTTTACTTACTACCTTTTTAACACATTTAGTTTTTTTCAATAAATATTTTTATTTACTAAAAAATTATAAATGATGTTTTTATTACATCAAAATTTCTCTTAAATAATAAAATATTTTTGTTTTAAGTGTTAACCAAATTTTGAAAAATAAAAATAAAAATATTCTTTTGTATTTTGAAACAAACAGAGCCTAAATAAAAATAAAAATATTCCTCTTTGATAGAACTTTATATATTTTCATATGATTTTCTTTTTTGGAGTGAAACTAATTTTGAAATTTTGATTTTTTTTTTTTGCTGTTATTTAAATAAAACTAGTTTTATTTTTAAAAATAGTAAATAAATTTTAAAATTCAACCAAAAGACTTCAAATTAAATTTGAATAAGCTATTATTCAACTTATATGAACTACAAAACATAACTTATTTAAATTCGGTTGTTTAAAACTTATTTGAGATCAATTCAAAATTTAAATAAGTTGAATTTTTTTTACAAATACTATTTTATTCCTTTATAAAAAGTTATGAGCAAGTTAATTTTATATAGCAATTCATGAACTTTACTTTTGAGATTGATTTTTGCAAAAGTAGATATGCATCTTATTGTTGGAGAAATATTACTATGGTATCATTTTATATGATTTTTATGTATAGAAATTTTATTTATAAATTATTATTTTTTTCAAAAAATATATACAACCTCAAATGGTGATGAAATTGAATGGGATAGAGGAAGGAATCGAGGCTCTCTTAATAATGAAATTGGGTTGGAAAAGGGACAAAGATGATTGAGCTGGGGCATGGTTGGTTGGTCGGATGGAGAAAAAAAGGGAATGAGAAAAAAATAAAAAAATAAAAAATAAAAAAAAAGGGAACAGAGTGACAGTTCTTACCTACCAAAACTGCCACCCAACAGTCATCACTTCAATCCTAGCCACCTCCAACCACTGCTCTCCTTCACTCAACAAAGAGACTAATGCTAATCCACTCGACAGAGTTCATCGAACAATTGGCATGCATCAAACACTTGACTATATTAGAGGAGAAGGCAAAACATCACCACCAATTGTCACATAAAAAACTGGCTACTCTCATCCATTGCTGTTGCTAACCCTTACCAAACTCACTAGATCCATACCAACTGTACAGATAATTTACAATGGTCTCTTGGGACTGGAAGAAGTGCAAGTGTGGAGATTCGAACAGCAAAGGTACTAAGAAATTGATTGCAGCAGTGAAGTCAATGGATAGCAAAATTGGGGCTGTCACCACTCTGACCTAGGTCTCCTCAGTGAACAGAGTGCTAAGAGAAGTTGGTGTAATTAGCATCTATATCAATCATCCACATTTTTTGTTCTTGTCTCAGTCAATTTTGAAACCAAATTCCACAAAGCAGTTACTGGTTCTCAAATTGTTGCACAAAAGTGCAGTAGTAGGTAAGTTGGAAAGTGAGAAGGTGTTGAGAGTGGTTTGGCTGGTGGTTAATACAAGAATATATAACATAACATTGGTCTAATAGTAATTTCACCATGCCATTCAACTAAGGTCGGTCAGTGATATTTCAATGAATATGGGGGGGGCATCAGTGTTATTTCAAAATAAATCAGGGAGTGAGTATAATTTACCCTAGGAACATCATCCAGTAACACATCAGACAAGGATCACTGGTAAAAAGCCAGTAAATGAATGATTTATAGTTAAATCCCTCCATAATGTAAAATGCTGAAACAAACATTATACTGTTTATCACATTCCATAGAGTTGTGTCGTAAAAACAAAAACAAAAACAAAAGAGAAAAGAGGAAATTGCTTTAAGGAAAAATCTTTTTCTGAGCATTTGCTAACAACAAATCCCTCTCTAACAGCTCAAGAACGGCTCAGAAGACGCGGACTGGCTTCCCCATGGTACTCTTCAAGTACAAGCACCTCACCTGGTTTCCAATCAACAATAATAAAACATATCACCATAGTTGACCCATTCACATTAACAAAATTTGAAGGGGCAGGAGCAAGGATTAGGAGAACTGAGTTAAGAAAACAACTGACTAGAAACATGAAATTCTTTAGATAATGTTCAAAAAAGCCCATCACATTAACATCATAGTGTCACAGACAGCAGGTCAATTATGATTAACATAAATAGTTTAACAGATTAATTCAAAATTCAACAAAGTTGGCAAGAGGGAGAGGTGCGGAAGTCCTAAAAAAATATCAAGGTGTTCCAGATCTAAAAATCAAGTCTCTTGAAAGAGCTACAAAGAAAAGTATAAAGCTTTGTAAAATATAATCTTAGGGTATGTGTGACATTTATGTTTACTTTTTTTGTTTTCAAAAAATTTGAAATATGTAAATGAAAACATGTTTGACAACTTCTTTCATTTCCAAAAAAGGGTAAATAACTTCCAAACTTTATAAAATTTTAGGAAGCAAAAGAATTATGTTTTCATCTGTTTTGAAAACAAGTTTTTATTCCCTTCTCCCTGACCAACCCTCGCAAGCCACCACCTTTGGCAGACCCATATCCTCCTGGCAACCGTCTTAGGGGGACATCACCTTTGGCAGCCCCCTAAGACTGTGTTTGGTTCATGGATTTGGAGAAGGATTTGAAATGGGAAAGGAAAAGGAAAAAGAAAAAAAAGTATGAAACTAGATGAAATGTAAGTACATTTTATTCACATTCCACCATCCTTTTCCCTTTCCCTTTCAAACTCCACCCCCAAATCCTTAAACCAAACACAGCCTTAGAGAAAATCAACTGCTGATCTAGATATGCATGATTACTCTAGGCTAGATGTAATACTTCATATGCATTCATGACAACCTTATAGTTTAGATAACGCAGGATAGCAAACTCACATTTTGCCAGTTCTTCTTCAACAATGAAACTAGAAAGTTAACACTCATTTGCACATTTTGAAAGATCTGCTTCTCCTCCATGCTGCAGTTTCCAACAGCAACTCCCATGCAGAGAACCTTCTTCAGTTGGAACTTTACTGTAGCTTTGGTCTCATTAACTTTAGACTCGAGAGATTCCTGATGAGTAACAAGGGTAGGAAACTTCCCTGCATTGGCAAATGATATGGAACTAGTCAATACAAGTAATGATAAAAAAGATCTCCATTACAGTAGAGCCACCGAGGATAAGGTTACAACTGCCTCATAATTCTATACACTAACCATAAGGTTTCATTCAGAAAGCACAAACTGTATGGCAAATACATAATAGATCATTCAGAAACTATGACAGGACATTGGTAACCTTAAACACCACCAGAAACTATGCCTCTACCAATAGAGAAAATGCATAAATTATTCAGAGGAAGGTAATTAGAGTTGACATGTGAGGGTAACAATTTTTGACTCACACAAACTGAGCCTGTTTTTGACAGAAACAAACTATAAAAAAAAATTAAAAAAAAAAGATAAATTTAATATGGTTACAATGCCTAAACACAACACCAGCACCCTTCATGAAAAATGTGTTTAAAGTGCAGCGTAACAGTCCCAGGTATGCAACCAACAAAAGAGGGATAATGCTGTCAATTAACAGGACAAAAATTGATTGATTGATTGATGTTTTATTTGTCAAATAAACTTGCCTGCTTTGTTGAGACCAGGGCCTAATAGACGGGGAATCTGCTTGATGACAGCTTCCGACGCTAAGAAGGCATGGTATTTCTTGGCAAGCTTCTTCACCAGTTTCTTGTTTTTGTTAAGCTTCTTCAGCCCTTCCACATCCATATACTCCAAACCTATCTTCTCAGCCTGCAGTTCAATGTTTAAATTAAAAAAATAATAAAATAAAATAATCTCAAAATGAAGGACATTAAACACGATCCAACTATGTCAGGAATACATAAACTAAAATAGCAATAGAAGTATGCTGCCTTAAAGGCCTAAATAGTCCTGTGTTATGACATATGTAGTAAAGGAACTGTACGAGACAACATTCACGTATGCGTTCTAGTTTCTCCCATAGCATTTCAAGATCATTTAGCATGGTTATATCAACAAATACTTAATCACAACCACGAGATTTATTTGAAATGAGAAGTTCAGCTGATTAACTGAGAAAAGCAGTGCAAACCTGTTTCTTCCCTTGGACCTTTTTTTTCTATGTAGATAGTTGACAACCAACAACACACATGATATACAGAAATGAAATCTAAAAGAATAACTAAAATTTAACACAAAAATACCCAAAAACTAAAAAAAAATTAGTAGAGTATAACTTGTAAGGTTGCTAACTTGCTATCACAAACAAGATGTAATTTTCCTGTTATTTGTATGCACCTGCTTCATGGATATTAATCATCTATTTTTTGGTAATTAAAAGCCAATCAATACTAATTAATTGAGGAAAATATCACTTTGCCATTCTCCAAAACAAAACACCCCCTCCCCACCCCCAAATCTCTATGTATTTCTTGATTCACTAATTTGTCATAGCAGGATTACCTCTTCCACATGCTGAGCATCACCAAGCATGCAAACCTTCATCTTGGGACGAGGAATGTGAGGCAACTTCACTGAACCACTGAAACGCTTGTCCTTCTGAGGATCGTAGTTTTTCAGCCCAATCTGGAGCTCAATAGTTTCAGTGAAGTTACGCTTCTTCTCCTTAGCATCATTAGCAATCTGTGTAATGGCTTCCCTCAAGGCATCACTCTGAAGCTTACTGTAGAAGAGGAAAAAGCAACTGCGTTAGAAAGGATAAAAACGGAAAGTAACAATAGAGACACCTGCATTTCTAAAAATGTAAAAAGAGCAAATGAATGCATACTAGTTGTTCAATTTAGATGACTAGAAAGTGTAAATGCACTGACTTTGACACAACATAGCCAGAAAAAAAATATATTAAAAATGCTAATGCCTAGAATACAAGAAAACTAATAAAATGTGTTAATCTGGGTACAAACTGGAGCATAGCCTAAAAAATCTTTAAAAAAAAAAATTAAACAAGCTAATAAACACACATCCAAATTCTGAAGATTACAACAGCAATAAACTAACAAGTTCCACTTTCAAAGAAAGATCAATGAAAACTTTAAATCCCAGTCTCAATCATAAAGAAAGATCATTTTTTTTGTTATTTTAGTTGATGGTAAAAATCTCAGTCATACCCACATCACCCAACTTCATATTAAATGCATTCAACCCTGAGCAGCAAAATAGACCCTAAGATTAATAAAGTTACAAAATTTATACAAAAACTTTAGAAAAACAAATACACTTTGTTACAATTTTTGGAGTGAATTGGACACTATAAACAGAACCAAAGAAACTGCAGATAACAAAATCATAAATTCACATACCTCATGGCTGAAACTTTTTCCTTTCTTCAGATTTATGTACTGTCACCACAACAGAAACCACAATAAAAAAGAATCAATTTTTGTTCATTTTCCTTGTGATTCAACCAATTTAAGTCAAAATTTAATATTTCATCTATAAGATTAAACAAAACAAAAAAAAAGGTACCTGGGATGAAAACCCAAGACTAGGGTTTGTGTGTTTGAGATGGGCGACGAGTGAGGTAGCTGCAAAGAGAGGCAGCTAGGTTTAGTAGTGAGATGAATAACTTCCAACTGCGCAAACCCTAAACACGTGTGAGAGTTCTTTCTCACACGTGTGGTGAGACTAGGCTCAATTTATTTTGTTGATTACACTCGTTTTTTATTTGGTTGCTAAATTAATTATTTTTAAATTTAATTCATAAATTTTTAAATCTTTTTGGGACAATTATAAAAAACAAAATAAAAAACCTAAGGTATGAATTTTGTAACAAATTAAATTTTTAATTTTGTCAATTTAAATCTTGAACTTTTGATTTGTTTTCAATAGAAAGTGTTTAAAAACTCAGAATTTATTTTGTTATAAAGCTCAAATTTTAAATTTTTGTTATAATTGTCCTAATTTTTTTTATGTAAGTGCAATTACTAATTAATTTAATTTATATTTTTTTAATTTTCTTTTCATGTTGGTCTTATTATGAATTAATTTGATTCATCATTTATTTTTAATTTAACTTCATGTTAATCCAGTTGTTAATTGTCATTATAGAAGAGCGATGAAGATTGACAAGTAATCCAAATTCAATGGCACTTCACAAAATTAACAAAAGTATGTTGGGTAGATTATATTTTGTCCTCCTAATTAGGGGTGTGCGTGGTACGATTCGGACAGTTTGAGAGTAAAATTATAAATCAAAGGGCGAATTGAACGATTGACAGATTAACGGATTGATAAATTGCGATTTTTGGCGGATTAACGGATTGAGGAATATTCTAATTAATTATCATACATTTACAGAATATATAACACTAATTTGTATAACATTATATAGATATATAACACAAAGTAATTTTACATAATATGTTATATATATATAACTACTAATTTGTAATAAATTTCATATTAAACTTTAATATAATATAAAAAATGAAAAAAAGAAGATATTTAAAAAAATAAAATAAAAATTAAAAATCATAATTCACATATATAGATAATTGTAAACACAATCCGTGCATAGTACGGGTGATATGCTAGTTCTCATTATAGAAAAGCGATGAAGATTGACAAGTGATCCAAATTCAATGACACTTCACAAAATTAACAAGAATATGTTGGGTAGATTATATTTTGTCCTCCTAATATATATTCATTTTACTCTTTGATCTTTAAATTAACTACTTTTTAATTTAATCTTTTAATTTTTTAATTTTTTCACGCATACTTAAAGTACAATGAATGGAGGTAGGTGTGAAGACAAAATATAACAGATGTATTTAGAACTGACCAATCTTTTTTGGGGGGCGTTTGTAAGGTAGCTGAGTAGCTCTTCAAATTATTAATAATCTTGAGAGATTAAAAAAGATACTACAATTATTAAATTTAAGAGTTGTTTTAAGAACTAATTATTTTAGTTGACTATTCAAATTTTTTATGAAAAAACGTGAAAAAAATAAGAAGAAAAATCAACTTTTTGCTAATAACTTTTTAACTATTTTAACTAATTCCCCAATACAGTCCTAAGTTTCATCATAATTTTCAGTGACAAATTAATTTTGCTCAAAGTTATACAATTCTCCATATAATAATAGGACATGCATATCTTTTTGGAAGCCAATGTCACATAAATTCTAGAAAACTCATAATTTTAAATTTATGCTAATATAAAACTCACAATTTTTTAAAAAAATTTACCCTAATAGCCATATATTGCTTGTTGGTTAGTGTACTTTGTACTGGGAAGTTGTTTTCTAAAGAACTTAGAGTTATAAATATTAATCATAAGAAAATTCAAAGTCTCTCCCACTAATTGATCAAAGTTACCTCGTTGTCTAGGTAGTTGAGAACTAACGCCCTAAAGTTCACCATTGGAGTGGCCTTTTGAGTGACTTGAACTCAAGATTTTACATTTTATCCTCGGGTTTAGCTGCAATTATGAATACTGGCCTCAAAATGCTTATGCAAGGGTAAAAATAGTTGCTGAGAATGTAGTTCTATTCAAGTGGTTAACCAAACAAATCTAGTCACCTATTCTATTAGAAAACACAACAACATTTCGCAACGAAATAAAGAAAGAAGACAATTGCAGACCGCCAAATTTTTAAGTAGCGCATTCTGCTGTGAACCTTCACATCATATCTAACAATTGTGCAAAGTTATCGACTGTACTGTACCAGACCCATGACCAAAACATGAAAGTTCTCTTTTCATTTCCATGGTATCCAAACAGACTATTATTTCACCAGAAAGGAATATCCCTTCTCCCTCTGTGCACGAACACGCATGTGTGTGTGAACCAAGATGCTTCTTGATTCAACTTGACTTTCAGTACATGGCATGTAGAATCCTTGAAAAAAGAGACTTGAAAATTGCATGCCTCAAAACAAATAAAACCAAAGCTTGAAGATCCAACAATCTAAATGTTTTGAAAGATCATCGTGGTCAGACTGTTCCAATAAAGTAATACTTATTTAAAGATCAATACAAAAGGTTTCATTTTGACTCCAGGATGTAGGCGAGAAAAGAAATATCGGTACTTCATTCAGTTGGCCTCTGTCCCAAAACTGGAATGTCCTCGTACCGCTTCTGCATTATAACAGTTAAAAAATCTTGGTCAGAGATTTAAACAGGGCAAGAAATCTAACTATTGGTTGCAAGAAATCTAACTATTGGTTGCAATAACAGAGAATTCATTCAGTTAGCATTCTGTATGTATATCATGCCACCAAGTGCATACAACACACAAACACATACAGCTTGTAAAGAATATACTATCTGCATGTATAGAGGGGAAAAAAATGAAAAAGCTTCAAAAATAGGAAGACACAAAATGTCATGACATCCCTCTTGTATCTCACAACTCTTATCCCATTTCCCCTCTCTCCCCACCCCATTTGCATTGTTTCTCTTTCTTTCTTTTTTTGTTTTTATTTTTTTGGGATCAGCAACAACGAAAATTTTATTGAAAAGAAAAAGGATCAAGTACAAGAGGAGGAGGTAACAAATAAAACATCAAATCTCATTCCTACAATCGCTGAAATACTTCTTAAAGATAGGAAGGTGTATAAAATCTCTCTCACCATACCCCCGATGCTAACAAAACAAATAAAGCATCAAATCTCATTCCTACAATTACTAAAATCTTCTTATTTCCCTTTGTTATATCTCTTCTCTTTCTTATCTCTCATTCTTTTCGCCTCATTCTCAATGCCTCTTCTCCAATTTCCCCTCATTCTTTTGTGAAAGAAAAACTAAGATGACAACAATGTTCCCTTGTTCTATTGTCTTCTTACAACTCTCCATTTCTTCTCTTTCTACATGTATCTCATCATACCACATTTTTTTGATAAATAAAATCGGCATGCACTGTTTTGTCCACCTTTGCATCACTGTAATATCCACACCATGGATTTTTGCTCTAAGGCCTAGTTTGGGAAGACTAAATAAGTGCACTTTTTGACTTTTTATGAAATATGGGTTGGGTTTGAAGTGATGTATTAGAGAGGTGATGTGACTTAAATAAGATGATGTGACTTAAATATGATAGTGACTTTTTGACTTTTTGTCTTTTTTCAATCTTCCCAAACTAGGCCTAAATACCAAACTATTGCAATTTGAGTCTCTAAGAGACATTCTCTGAAAGGTAGTAGGAAGTAAAGCTGATGCAAAACCAGTAGTGATCAGAAAATAGAGAGAGTAGAAGGTAAACATGGTTGATGTACCGAACCGAATAGATCAATTTTTTGCACAATTGACAATTAAGGACTTGGATTTGGTTCCCCTGGTCTTTCTTTCCCCAGGTTCCTCCCTCCCTTTCTTCTTCTTTTCTCCTCTCCTCCTCCTTCCCGTCTGCTTCACCCCTTATATTCTCCACTTTCCCTTCTCTTCTCTCTTTTTATCGCCCCTAATTCTGCATCAAAAGCATGCTGCTTTTATTCAAAAGAAAAAAAAGAAAAGAATAAAGGTGATATGATGAGAGAAGGTCTTCTAAGTATTTTTCATAATTTTTTCCTCTGCTAGAACATCTTATTTTCCACCAATAGAGCTTAATTATAGGCTTCTTGAAACCCTAACAGCACACAATAACTGTAAACCCCATCCCAACCCTCTTTCCTCAAAACCTAAAAAAATAACAATATACTCTTCCAACTTCCAATAAAACTACAAATAACTTTTCTAAAGTTATATATCAAATCAACCATACAATTACATAAATTAGGATGCATCAACATAGATTCACATATTAACTGTTCCTCTACTGCGTTTGAGATTAAGAATCCTTTATGGGCTTAACAATTTGTGAAATCAAATGAACCATAATGATCTTAAGCCAAAGATTCGAGATCAGTGCCATATATAAATAACATCTCAATGTTTAACAATCACAAAAATTGAAAGGCTAGTTTCTGTATTATATAATTTGAGAAACTTAACTGGTGAGGCAAATTGCTTGGTTCTCACTAGATTAATAGAGGAAGGGTGTAAAGATCACACCTTTGCACCATCTCATTGATATAGCCAGCTCTTTGGGGCAGTATTTAGATGTGACTCCAAGAGTTGCTAACCCTAAAGTTCACTCTAAAGAGGGGGACCATTACTCTCCAAGAGTTTGGCGGTCAGTTCTATGCCCCTCAAGCTAAGAAGCACAAACATGAATACAGAAACGGGATACTGAGATTTTGGAAAAATGGCAACGACCAAGGCGGGGGAACACAGAAATTTAAAAAAAAAAAAAAAAATTATATATGTTTATTTTCTATGTAGATTAATGTTACATTCGACAAGCAATCAAAATTAATAAAAACTAATACTAATTCAAAATATATATATATATACATAATCCACTCTTAAATTAACTCTTATTGTTTGTCTTCTTTTTTTTTAATGGATGATCTATTAGTTATTCAAATCCAAGCAAAAATAAATAAGCATTCAATCTCTATCAAAAGCACTAAAGAAGAGATGGAAAAAAACTAGTTGGCGTGTCCCTAGCATTTCTCTTGAAAACACATTAATTATATAAAGGGACACGCCAGCTACCGTGCCCCATAAGTGTCCCCATTGTGTCCAACACCTCTACGACACCTGTTTTGGAGTGTCGGTGCTTCATAGCCCTTGAGTGAAGGTAAGGGAGTCTCTGCCATGTTATTGTTTCCTTTTGTTTTTGGATAATGTAGACTGTCAAGAACTATTTTTTTCCCCCTATTCTATCTCCAACTTCACTTGTACAAATTTGTCAAAATTATCAATAAAATCATGAAAGTCAACTTTTGAGTAATTTCTTCAAGAAGGAATGATACACCCCAATTTTTGTTGGATCCACAAGAAAATTATAGTTCATTAATATGTTAAAGTTGTTTTTCTTATCAGTTTTTTAAAATTAATATCGCTGTATTTTTTGTTTTCCTTTTACTAAAGCATTAAATTCTCATGACTCATGTCATCATAAGATATCCATAGAGCGTCTCCAACGCTTCCTCTTTTGTTTCACCAAATTTAAATTTGATGAAAAACGTACAGTTTTGGTGCTCTGACGTTAACATCAAATCAGTATCAAATTGAAGATTTCTCAAACTTTTCATCAAATTACCATAGATAGCTGTTGGGACCATACACCGGACGACCGGCCGATTGTCCTCCTGGACAACCTCTTCCTTGCTTAGACTTCCCGTCAATTTACACTAACTGGTTGACCGGCCAAACATCCTTCCAGTCGTCCACACAGTCGACAGGTGGTTTGATGAAAAATGAAAATTTTCTATTAAAACGCTCGATATCAGATGAAACTTTTACTCAAATTTCATTAAAAAAAGAATAAGCGTTGGAAATGCTCTTACAACACCCCTTACTTGAAGGCTTGAAGCACAACTTCTGTTATCAAGTAATTGTCAAAAAAGATATTTTGGTTGCTCTTGACATATTCTTAAGCATTTGCATCAATCTATGAAGCACAGATACTTAAAAAAAGGAGACGTATCCACATTGGATACTTATTAAATATCGATACTCTTTGGATACTCACGGATACATATCGGATATATCTTAAAAGTATCAGATACTTCTTAATTAATTTTTTATTAATTTTAGAGTATCAAATACTTAATTTTGAAATATCGGATACTCAAAGTCACATATTACTTCCAATACTTTGTTTGGTTCTCTGATAAGAGGAATATAGTGAGAGTTAAAAGTAATAGAATTTGTCAGGTATCCTTATTATCTTTCTCACTCTCTCACATTTCTTCTCTCTACTCTCGTTCTTTTTTTGGTGTTGACATGTAAGAATGATATTTAATTTGCATTTACTTTTGCTTTTAGTTTTGGATGTTTTATGAACGTTTGAAGACTCTTAGCTTAATAGGAATCCCTCTCTTTATTTATTAATTTGTTTTAGATTTTATTTTGATACATATTACTTACATTATTAAAATTATAAAAAAATATATATATATTTTTTACGAATGTACCCCTGCTGTATCTATATCCTACTTTTTCAGATTTTAGCATATCGTCGTATCCCGTATCTATATCTGTGCTTCCTAGGCATCAGTCTAGCTATTAATATGACTTGCATTAGTAGGCAATGATACACAAAGCTATGTTTCAAAAACTAAAAAATTTCCTAGTAACTCATGGGGGTACTAGACATAAACCATTTTTTGGGTCAACAATCTCCTAGCAACTCATGACACAAAATTTAAAGATATAACACAATATATGTACCGATGTGCATAATTGAGACTTTTTGTAAATTTAGACAACTTTTTTTTATTTTTATAATTGGGTGTCCACGCCAACTTGCCCACACTTCGACTAATCCCAAGGCCTTGAAGTTAACAACCAGGTAAACTTACAGCAAGTCCCTCAAGTGACTCAAGACCTTTTATTCAAGCTTTAACAAGAAGTCTTTAATTTTCTACAGGTTTAACTCTTATCTGAAACCAGATTTTTGTTAATGTTTTATATACGAGTAAGATTTCATTTATCCCACATTATAATCAAACTTTGGTACAACCATACATCTATATAAAAGACCCCAAACAACCAAAAACGCTAAAAAACTGTAAACTTGGATGCTGGTTTTCTTTTATCTTTTATGGAGATTTGGGCTTCTGTTGGACATGGAGAAAATAACCTCAAATTTTCCCAAACATGTGACACTCGCTTAAATTTGTCACACTGCCATTAATGAAGATTTTACTCAAAATTTATGCTTAAATCAGAATTTTCCATTGATGTGTTTCGTATCAAATAAAGTTTTTACTCAAATTTTAGGCTAGAGATGGCCTATCCATATCAAACATAGAGGAATCATATGAATACCATAGCCTTAACAGAATTAAAAGAATTCAGATAAAAAAGCACCAAAAACAAAGGAATTTAACTAAAGGAGATTGGAATTACCCCAACATTGTTGTACTCCCAGAGCTTATGAACTCCATAGTCCACCACCTGCCAATAAATAAAGATATAAATAAATCGCACAACCAATTAAACAAAAGGGCCATTTACACACATGTCTTAATTTATGAACTTATCCTCCATTAAATCCTAACTAAAATTTTTGACTTTCGAGTCCCATTAAATTTTTAATGGTCAGAATTACCCTTCAAACAATGATCGTTCATCATTTATGATTATCTATAAAATAATAATAATAATAATAATGATTTGACATTTATTTTGATTTTCAACACTTTAAAACATCAACTTTCCAATTGAAAAAACTAGAGAAAAAAAAATGTGCAACAAAAATTTTGAAAAAACTAAAAAAAACTGAATTAGTTTTTTGTCAAAAATTGAAAATTTTGTGTTTATAAAGGAGCGTGATGATGGAACATTAATGTGCAAAAAAAAAAAATTAAAAATTAAAAAATATAATGTTCTTAGTTAATGTTCTCGATTTTATTGGATAGTTGAATCAAACCAATAAATAGAAAGGCAAAAACCTTTAATCTGATACTCCATTTTTTTCATCAATTAGTAAAACAATTATATGTAATACTACTATGCAAAATTCATAAGGTTCTAATTTTAAAAATTGAGAAAAACTGATAATATTATCAATTTTATTAAATAGGACTGGTTCAAAAAATCTTAAATGGAACCTGAGCTACCTAACATTTGTAAACATGACTTTTAGATAATTAACTCTAAACAAAACTCATCGAATTCCAAATTTTTATAATAACAAAAAAGCAAATACATAGATAAAAAAAGAAATACATGTATATCACATAAATATGTATATAGATATAGATGAGATCGGAACCCTAACCCGTTCTCCGAGGAAAGCACCGGCGATGACGAAAGTGGCGTAGACCGAGGTCCGGCGCATCAGGACCTTGTAGAGGCCTTCCACAAGTCCTCCGCTTCTTCTACCTGTTGAATCCATCGCTTCTCTCTCCTCTCTCTCTCTCTCTCTGTGCTGCTTTCTGTTTTGAACTTCCACGATGTAAACGACTGTAGGCCTTGTGTGGAAACTTCGCTGTTTTAGTTCGCTAGTAGGCTTTTTAGTTTTTTTAACAAAAAAAATTAAATAAATAAAAATAAATAAGGTTGTGTTTGAAATGACGATTGTTTTTTTTTAATTTTTTATAATTGATTTGATAATTATATATAAAAAAATGAAATTAATATATTATATAAACAAGAGGGGAATTTTTAATAAAGAATATTGTGAGAGTTTTAATATCTCATATTAATTTTTTTGATTTTCTTAATTTTAAACAATTAAAAAAAATCTATTAGCTAACTAATTAGTCTATAATTTATTTGATAATCACATATCGAGATAAGAAAGAAAAAGTGAATTGTTTTATTCATATAAAGTGAATCTTATACTTCTTGTACTCCTATTTAATATTGTAGTATTGTACATGTTTCAATTAATTTTTGTGTAAGTTTTAATTAATTAATTTTTGTGTAAGTTGGTTAGTCTTTTAACCTAGTGTTTTAGGCTGAATCATTTTTTATTTGAATGATTCCTTAGTTTAACCACGATTTTAACAGTTTTATCAAAATATATTTATTAGATTTGTTTAATTTGAAATAAATTAATACTGAATGAGTAAGATTGCTTGATTCGAAATAAACTTCCCGTCCAAATAATTGTTAACTTTATTTTATAATCTCATACAGAAAAAAAAAATGGAAAAAAAAATAGTTGTTTTACTTCTATTAAGTGAACCTTAATATTGTAGTCTTGTGCATGCTTCAATTCAAGTCAGTTTACATTTTAAAATTAAAATAACATTTAAAACTTTTAATTAATTAATTTTTGTATAAGTTGGTTGGACATTTGATCTAACCGATTAGGCTGAACCCTTTTTAGTGAGAAGCATGGTGAGAGTTTCAATATCTCATACTAATTTTGTTGATTTTCTTAATTTTAAATAATTAAGAAAATCTCCATTAGCTAGCTAATTAGTGTATGATTTATTTAATAATCTCACATTGGGAGAAGAAGAAAAATGTGAGTTATTTTACTCATATAAAGTGAATCTTATACTCTCATTTAATATTGTAGTGTTGTGCATATTTCAATTTAAAATAAATTAATGATTGAGGCCTCAAATTTTTTGGCTCAAATTTGGCTCGAATTTCCCTTTTTTTTTTCTTTTTTTTTTTTGCTGGGTTGATGCTTTGCTTGTTATTATTATTATTATTATTATTTTTTTCTGCAATGTATTAGCCCAGAAAAAAAAAATGCATTCGAGGCAATTTCGAGTCTCATTTTCGAGGCCTCAATCACAGCCCTTTAAAATAATTTAAATTTTAAAATAAAATTTAAATGTTTTAATTAATTAATTTTTGTGTAAGTTGGTTGATCTTTTGACCTAGCTGATTAGGTTGAATCATTTTTTATTTGACTGATTCATTGGTTTAATCGTGATTTTAACAATTTTATCAAAATGTATTGATTAGATTTGTTTGATTCAAAATAAATTAAAGATTGATCTGATTAAAGATTGAACAACTGACATTGCTTAATTAAAAATAAACTTCTCATCTAAATAATTGTAAAGTTTTATTATAATCCCACATCGGAAAAAGAAGAAAAAAGTGAGTTATTTTACTTATATAAAATGAACATTAACATTGTAGGGTTGTGCATGCTTCAATTCAAATATCATTTAAAAGTTTTAATTAATTATTTTTTGTATAAGTTGATTGGTCATTTGACCTAACCGATTGGGCTAAACCGTTTTCAGTTTGACTGATTAGCCGGTTTAACCGTGATTTCTCATACTGATTTTCTTAATTTTAAACAATTAAAAAAAAATTACATTGACTAGCTTCCATTTAACCATATAAAAATAAAAATCTAATTAGTTTGTGATTTATTTTATAATCCCACATCAGGATAATAAGGAAAAAGTGAGTTATTTCACTTATATAAAGTGAATTTTATACTCCCATTTAATATTATAATGTTGTACATAGACAATTTAAATTTTAAAATAAAAACTCTAATTAGCCTATGATTTATTTTATAATCCCACATCGGAAAAATAATAAAAAAAAAGTGAGTTGTTTCACTTATATAAAGTGAATTTTGTACACCTATTTAATATTACAGCGTAGTGTATATTTTAATTCAAGACAGTTTAAATTCTAAAATAAAATTTGAAAGTTTAAATTAATTAATTTTTGTGTAAGTTGGTTGGTCTTTTGACCTAACCAGTTAGGCTAAATCATTTTTAGTTTGACTGATTCATTGGTTTAGCCGTGATTTTAACAGTTTTATTAAAATATATTGGTTAGATTTGTTTAATTTGAAATAAACTAAAGATTGATCTGATTAAAGATTGAACGACTAAGATTGCTTGATTAGAAATAAACTTTTTTGAAACAATTGTTAACTTTTATTTTATAATCTCACATCAGAGAGAAAAAAAAAAAGTAAGTTATTTCACTTATATACAATGAACCAATGACAGCTCCTACTGATAATTCTAAATATATAGTATTGTGTATGATTAGTTCAACCAGATACGTTTAAATTTTAAATTAAACATAGTCGGTTAAAAAAGTTTTAATTAAATTAATTTTTGTAATAGGAGTTGTGGTTGGTCTTTTGACCTACCACATTAGGCTGAATCATTTCGATTTGATTGATTCGCTGATTTAAGACCGGGCTGATCTTAAACGGTTTTCATCAAAAATATATTAGTTAGATTTAGTTTTGATTTTGAAATAAATTAAATATTGACCCTAATTAAAGATTCAATTAATGATAATTTTTTTATTCGAGAATATAAACTTCCACGCCCTGAAACAATTAGTTAAACTTTTATTTTACACAGTCCCAACATCGAGAAGAAAAAGGAAAAAAAATGTAGTTATTCTTCATCAGTTATATAACAGCTATACAACGATATCTTCCATTTAAATAGCATTGTACATGTTTTCAGTTGAAAAACAATTTGAATTTAAAAATAAAATAGGAAAATTTAATTAATTAGATTTTTGTATGAAGTTGCAGTGAACTTTATGTGATCGCTTTCAACGATTTTAATCAAAGCAGTATCATGATGGACGACATGCAACCAAAAATCCCAAATCTTTATCTTATGAGCCATTTGGTCCTTATGTTTTTCTTATGACCAATTAGTCGCCAAGCAATGTAATGACAAAAACCACCAGGTTTACACTCATGTTTTATCGCTTTAGTAAGGGTAAATCAGGAAACCCGCAACATAGTATTGAGACTAGAATGCCTAAAACTCGTAGAATATTTGTTTCCTCCAAACAAACATCAACAAAACATAATCAAGAACATTCAAGCAACATCAAACATCGACACAATCAAACCATCACAAACATCAAAACATCATCAAAACAACACAACATACACTCAAACATCATCAAACAGTTGTAACATCACATCGGAAATCAGGAACAAACATCGGGAAAAATTACACACGAATTCATTTAAACAATAAAGCATCAAAAATCATTGTAGTTGTTTAAATTTACTGTAAGTTGTATTTAAAACAGAAAA